CATATAATTTAAAATAAATTTTTTCATATTTAAATATTTATAAGTTAATTTAAATTTGACTCGAAATTTGATTTGAATTTGACTCAACTTAAATAAATTCAAGTCAAAATTGAGTCGAGTTAAACTCGAGTTAAGTCAAATTAAGTTGAGTTTAAAATTTATATAACTTGAATCAAGTCAAGTTGAAAGATTTTATAAAATAAATTTGACTCAACTTGACTCAAAAAAAATGAATTAAATAGAATTGATCTTTAAACTCAACTCAATTTGACTCATTCAGAACTTTAATTGAAAAGTTATCACATGTGATTGATTGATTTAAAGTTATTGTTAATTCTGATTATTATTTAAGTTATCCTCTGATAATTACTTTTATGAATAAAAGAAAAAAAAATACAGAAAAAAATAGCTAAGAGAAGTAATAAAAAAAATATTTTAACAAAAAAATATTATTGTTTGAACTAATAAAACTGTTTTTTTATAATAAGAGGATTTGAAGAAAATAAAGAAAAGAAAAATGTAAAGGGAGTTTTTATTTTTTTATTTATAAGCTAAACTGTGACTGCCTTTAAATGTATACATTTTTTATATAAAAATTCTTGATTGAGTGATCATTAAAAAGAATTATATATTTTTTATATATTTTTGTATTTTTAAATAATTATTACATAAAATATTATTTTAATAATTGAAAAATTAATATAGTATATAATAATAATTATTAATTTTAAAAATTTATAAATATTATTATTAAATATATTTTTAATATAATAATTCTAATAAACATTATTTATTAAAATATTTTAAAGATTTTTAAAATGTTATATAAAGAAATAGGCAATAATTTTTAATATATATATTAATATATTTTATATTATATATAAGATAATTATTAATGAATTTAGATATAACCTTATTAAATTATTTATTTAAAATAATACTGATAGCTAATTCAAATATAATTAATATATATAATTTATATGGTTAGTAATACTAAAATAAAAATTTATTAAATTTGTAATTTTATTAATTTGTAGAAATTTTAGCAATTTTTTATAAGAAAATTTCTAAGTTTACACAAGGTGTATATTTGCGAATTATGTGATTATATATTTATCACTAGTATCATACCTTTCTGCCTTTAGTTTTTACTATTTATTTCAGGAACTTAGAATTTTTTCAGTGAAAATTATTATTCGTTATAAACTATTTATCACATATTTATCATACAGATATTTTTTTAATTTCTTCATTTTGGTAAAAGTAATATTAATATTAGCTATATTATGTGATCTATATATAATATGTGTACAAATAGAAATTATTTTTTTATAAATTTATATTAAAAAATAATGATTTAAATTTATATGATCATTTAATATATTTTAGAGAAAAAGATTAATAGCAGTAAGAAATTATTAAGCTACTTATAATAATAACCTAAAATATTCAAATATTCTCATTTTATTATAAGAAAACTTTAATATTACATAATCTTTTGAAATTAGATATAAAATATTTTAAATATTAGTAATCACTTTAATTTGACTAAATTTATATTTAATATCCTGTCACAATTATATAATACTATTATTTTTTTCTTATTAGAAATGCAATTAAATAACTATTTTAGATTAGTACAGAGATGTAAATTCATCATAGATATAATGAATTTATAAAATACTTTATTTGATAGATAGTTTGAATTTAGAATAGTTTAATAATAATAAAAGAATAATTCATTAAATCTATTTATAGTGAAATATTATAAAAATAAAAAAAATAAAAAAAATACTATTTATATAATAAGTTTGTATTAAAATTATCTATAACTTTTATAATTAAAAGTTTAACTAAAAAAATTTATATGATTGTTTAATCTAAATGATTTATATACTAAAAATACATATATTAAGTTAACATTATTTTTTAATAATTTTTTAACATAAATACTCAAAGTAAGTTAATAATAATGATATTAGCTGATAGATATTTTTTCAGTTTACATATATATAATTTACATTTATTTTTATGTTTATTATTAAATGTATAGCAAAAAATATTAGAATTGTAAGTGTAGTTATACAAATTACATTTCTTAAAGTATTTCTTATTATCAGAATTACAATAAGAAACAAAATTGCAATTTGAATTTTTCTTTGACATTTTAATAGATTCATTTCTATTCAGTGATTATTCAGATACATAAAGTAATTATGGTAAAAATAATTAAAAGAAGTAAGAAAAGATTGAATTTTATTTAAGTTTTTATTGATTTTATTAATTTTTATCCTTTTTTTTCTTAATATTTTTATATAATATTTTTCTATCATAATTTATAATTATGATTAACTAAATTCTCTATTATTAATCAAAATGATTTATTTCATAAAAAAAAGAATCAGCCTTATAAAAATATTTAATCTGTATTTTATATTCCATTTTTTTTATTAATAAATGTAGCATCTTCATGTAATTTATGATTAAAATTACTTGTCTTGCTTAGATCCTTTTATGAATATAGTATATTTATGGATTTTTTTGCAGACAGTATGGGATAATACCAATCATATAGAGTTTTAATATATATAATGTATAGCCTATGATTTAAGTCTATTTCTTAGATATATTTTTTAACTTTCTTTGTAATTAGTTTATTTTTAATAAAAAATGATGATCATTCAAATACAAAATCAGATGTTATATCAATAATACATCTCAATTTATAAAATTGTTAAAGATATTCTAAGAGAAATCAGTTTAAAACACAATGGAATTTTAACCAGCTTATTGCAATATCTATATAGAAGTCTAATAAGAATAATTAAATGTGTTTAGCACTTTATGGAAAAAATATGAAAACAAGATTTCAATCCTGGTAAATGCTTTAGTTACGTGATTGTGAAGGGTGAATGTTATAGTGATGAAAATGGTTAGTTAATATCATAAAGAAATAGTGATTATATATGATATTGTTTTATAGCGTTTTTAGCGAATTATAACAATTTATTAACTTATGATGTAGATAGATAGTATGATTTCACATTAAAAAAGATTAATTATATTATAATTAGAATTACAAATAAGGAAAAGTACATCATATATTAAAACTACTTATCAAGAATAAAATAAAATAGAATAAATTTGATTTATTAAATAAAATGAAAACAACATAATACTATGAACGCTTAGAAATAGAATATTAACTCAGCAATAGATAAAACTATGTTTAAAATTCGGCACGCGAACAGCCAAAAACATCTTTCAATTTACCATCTTTATCTGGGTTTTCCCCAACACTAACAAAAATTGCGTAGAATTTAGGAAATTCAGTTGGTGTTGGAACATTATCTACATCTATAGAAAATTTGGTTCCAACTTTAACTGATTCAGTAAAATTCTTAATGTAGGGGGGGTATTATGGAAACAAAACTCAAACCATCAAAAAATCTATGTCTAGCACGGTTTTTCCTGCGGTAATATCATGCTCTAATGTTCCTGAAACAGTAAAATGTTCGGGGGTTTTGGCAACTGGAGGGTCAGGCGTAATTGTTACATCGACTCCGGGCCTTGGTTTGATTACTGTATAACATTATAAAAATTCAGCTTTTCTTTTATTAAATGGAATAGCGTTGACTGTATAAAGTGTAGTCAATAAAATAAACACAAAAATAAAATTTCGGTTCATGATTTTTCTTTGGCAAATATCTGGATTGAGTTTCTTTTATGAAGATTAATTGTTAAAAAAAAAAGTAACCATTGTTAATTTGACTTCAGAGTTACTTTTTATACGGGGAAAAGTCTTTGATCACCATAAATCCTTTTTTGAAGTTAATTTTAAAAGAAGATACGCATAATCATTTTATATCACAGACCGAATAGATGAATTCAATATTATTGATTCCGTTTGAATGAAATCTCATATGAAATTCAGGTTAAAACCGTTTTGGTTATTAAATATCTAAACCTTTCCAAATGTATCTGGTATATTCACCGATTTACGCTTGCCGATTACACTATGAATCTTTCGTTCATTTTGTAAATCCTCGTGCATCTATATTCAAATATTGTTTTATTAATATGTATGATGCGCAAAAAATAAATTCATCCATTATATGAGTATCAATTTTTGGTAAACTGTAATTATAATTATAAAAATGACAAATTATATTAAGATGAAATATCCGTTAATTCAAGAACTTACTATTTTTTTTTAGTTTTAAATAATTACTTTAACTTTAAAAACTATTTATACCGTTATAAAATTTTAACATTAGTAGTAATGTACTTTTCGAGAATATTTAATTTTTTTGCATAAAAAATCATAATTTTTTTTTTTTTAATAATTTTTTTTTTGAAATGAATTTTCGATTTTTTGATTACATTTTTTTTTTATAAGTAAAAAATAAAGGAAAAAAAAAGGTGAGAAATAAAGAAAAAGAAATATTAAAAGAATTTTTTTTTTTTTTAGTTTACAAAAGTTATACAAAAGTGATATTTCTCAACAAAAAAGGTAAACTAAAAAAGAAAAAAAAAATCCTTCGATATCGATTTTCAATTTTTTATATAATAAAACAGAAAAAAAAAAACAATTCCCCAAACTTTTTTTTTAAAAATTCGTGAAATAAACAATGGGTTGTGATGAAGGAAAAAAAATTTTTTTAAAGATACTGAGGTATTCTTTTTGAATATTTCATATTATGCTAAATATACTTTTTGAGGAAATAATAAAGAATATATAAATGGATGTGGGTGGGCATCGCAAATAACGGAATAATTTTGGAATAAAAAAAAAGCGTCATTTAAAAGTATAATAACATAATATGTAAAAAAAAATGGAGACATAAAATGTTCTCTTCAAAAAGAAAATGATTTTTTTTTTTGATTGCTACTTATACTACATGCAAAGATTAAAGAAATGTGGGGTTTTTTTTTTTAAAAAAAAAAATATTATAAAAAACCCTTTTTTTTTTTGCGTACCGCGATTTGAACTCAATTTCTTTTGTTTTTTGAAAAAAAAAAAAATTGTTAAAAATTGTTCGAAATAGAGTATCAAATGCGGCACAAAATGAAAAAGAAAAGAAAAAAAGAAAAAAATATACAAAGAAATAACATAAAAAAAATTTTGTTTTTTGTTAATTTTTTTTCCCATAAGGATTTTTTTTACACTGAAAGAAAAAAAAATTTCATAGTGTTCTTGACCTCCTTGGGGAGGTAGTAGTAGCAGCTTTATTGTGGTAACCAGAGGAAGCAGATGACCTTCTACGTGGTTTACGTTCTTTTTGTTCAATTTTGTCGTATCCGGTGAGATAACGCATATACAAAATTGTTTCAGCAACACCAACGATGACACTTCCGGTAAAAGCGAGCAACACACGCTGTTATTAAAAGAATATTGGTTAGCAAAATACGATTGACTGGAAAATATCAAGTTTCTTAAACGATACATACCATACCCGTATCACCAGTTATGGTTTGGGCAACGTGATAAACAGCTGCGAATACCGCTACAACAGTGAACGTGATGTTGATTATTGCAGTTAGTTGACCGCGAACGCTTTGGAATTCCTCGGTGTCAAGTAGTTTAAAGGTCTCCACATCATAAGAGGAGGCGACTCTACCAATCATACGTGCATATTCCTTATTGGCTTGTTCAGCAAGGATCGATTCTAAACGAGCGATCAATTCTGGACTCTGTGAATTAATGAATACAAGGATTATAATTAGATAATTTTGATTTCTTAAAGAATGTAATAACGGAAGAGCAAAAAAACTATATATTACCTTAGGCTTCTCTTTGCGAGGTTCAACGTAAACCCCGCTGCCGGTGAGTAGGTCATGAAGCCAATAATTGGAAAGGCCTAAAATGAAATAAATTAATAAAATATTAATAAGGAAATGTGGGAAATGTGGGAAATGTAAAGGTGCGTGAATGTGAATGGATGACATAAATCACTAAAAAAGGGTGAAAGATTGGAGATCCAAGGTGTAAAAACGTTAATGATTATCAAGGTAAGATGGTCAAAGCAACTCGGTGAAAATCGGAAAACGAACAGGGTACCATATTACACCCATACCAGGAATGTGTAATATAAATAAAAAAATGTTTGCATATTCACACAAACAAAAAAAAAAAAAAAAAAAAATCATCGAAAAAAGAAAAAAAATTTACCAATTTCTTTACCGAGTTTACCATCGCGGCCAAGCAAAAATTTTGAAACCTCCTTGATTAAATCAAGAGGAACGCAAGCGGAGGCTTTAAGGTAAGACTTAAGCCTTTTCTTTGCGGATTCGTCAAATTCAGGAGATTGTACGGCTTGGTATATGGCAGTTCGGATACGGTCAGTTAATACTAACAAAACCATGTTGTTTGAAGGGATTGACGAGAAAAAGTAAGGGGGTGTGTTTTAATTTTGTTATATAAAAAAAAAAAAATATTAACGTTATATTTTGTTTTGAATATATCGTAAAAAATGTTAAAAATGTTTTTAAACGTTCGTTTCAAAAGTTTTAAGGGTATAGTATAAAGTATTTTCTTAGTAAGATATCATTAAAAGTCAAAATTTTAATTTAGGGTCGTAACATAAAATTTTAATCGACTTCTAGGAAGCCAAAGAGAGGGAGAGAAGAAACTTAAGGGTGTCAAATATCAAACTAATTCGACTGAGTGAACGAAGGGAAAGGCAGAAAGAGTCGGGTTTAAATATTTGTTTTTGTTGATGGGATTGATGAAAAAGTTCATTGTACAAATTATTAATAATATCTACCAGTTACTTTGCACTACTACATAAAAAGTTTTATTGTTTATTGTATGCGCCATGATACGCTTTAGATTAACTTAATTGATTCAGAGGCTATTATTTGGTGGCTAAATAACGACAATGAAATTTTTATCGATCGTAACGGTGCACAGAATAAATTCGCGTGAGTGTGTTTCGTGACAAACAAAAGTAACACAGACCATCAATGATTATGTGTTTTAGTGTAACACCTATTGTTGTTATTGTAAACCACATTATAAACCACATGGAAAACATCTTGAGAACATCTTCATGAGTCTTTACATTTTCTATTGTTATTAGTGCCTGTCACATGAAAGAACATTTAAGTAGATTTGACACTTTTTATATGCTAATATTACATGGGCGGAATTCATTTAATCATACGATCTGTTCATGCCGCAGAGGCCAACTGCAATCAGGATTCTCAGATAACATCAGCATTAGAGTAGTATCAAAGAAATTATTTCCTCCCAACCCTCTTTGTCTTTTGAAAAAAAAAATATTATATATATGCACAGACCATCATTAAATGCTGCGAATTTCAAGTTTTTCTGCTTGATTTTATTTTATTTTATTTTTTAATTATTGTTATTTATTTTTTTTTTTTTCTGCAAACATTCCCAAATCATACATGGATCATCAACAACAGGAAATTCTGCTATTATTCAAATTTATAAGGAAATTTATATTAAGGAAAAAAAATTTTTTTTTTCTAGCATGTGAAAAATTTAAAATAAAAATTTTTTTTTTTTGAATTCATAGTTATACAAGGGGTACAAATACAAACATCACGGGAAATTACCACCTTATAAGAGAATTCTTTATATATCTTTTGCTAATGTAAAAGTTGAGCCGCATATAGTTTCATATCTTTGAGAGTTTCACGCCATTCTTTTAAAGTTTCAATTGTTTTCTTTAACATTTGTTCTGATGGAATTGGAATATCTTGTGGTAGCATTTTAGATGATATGTCGAGATTTATTTCTTCATTGTTATCTAACACTAATAAAATAACTTTCATGATGAAATCTCGCAGCTGTGGCACTACTCTCATAACTTTGTTGATTTGCTCTAGAGAAGGAACGACTCGATTCACATCATCGATTCTTAAAGTTAACATAATTTCCTAATTAAATAAAAATAATTGATAATATTATTATTATTGTTTTTTATTTTTAAAAAATCATGATTTTATTTAATTACCTTGACCAAATTGGCCAAGATTTCGGTTTCCAACTCATCAACTTTGCCTAATTGTAATTTGAAATACAATTTATCTTTGAGAATGTTTCGTCGTGTTTCCGTTGATTTTGACCCTTTGTTATATATATATAATAAAATAAAAAATTCAAATAACTAAAAAAAAAAAAAAAAAAAAAAAAAAAGAAATTGCAGTCTCTCATTTCCTATACCCTTGGAAGGACTCTTAAATAATGGCCTTGTGTTCCTTTTGAACGCTTGCAATTCTAATTTGAGTTGTTCGTTCTCCTCACGTAGCTGCTCAAGTTCGATCACATTTTCTCGACCTTTGACTTCAACGGTTTCTACTTCTTTTATTACTTCTTCTATTTCATTCTCTAGCTTTTCTTCCACCATCTCTTCGTTTTGTGAGAGATTTCTTACTTGATTTGATAATTCATCTAACTATTAAATTAATGCGCGCTTCATATTAATAATTACTTAATCCAAGTCATCTTGCATGATTAATACATACGCTCCCTAAAATATTAGATGTATCGAATGTCGTTGAACTTTTCTTCTCATGATTTTGCAATAAATATCTCAATTTTGCATAATCAATTTGTTCTTTTGAATTTACGGCAAAATGCGTCACATTGCCTTTATCAATAAAACAAAAAAAAAAAGGAAAGAATAAAGAAATACACCACGAATTAAATTAAGGGCCAATATGGAATTTTGTACGTGATTTAGGAAAGTAAAAGAACCAATTACTTGTAATGGAAGGTAGTTCAGTAATCGTTGAATTGCTTATTATTATAAAGTCATTTCGTGAATATTGAATGGTTGGGTTTGGGTAATACTCGTGCGGCTTTGTAGGGTGAGCAAAAGAAGAAAAAGAAGAACAAGCTGACACGTAAATTGAGTGGTTTTCTTCCGATGTCATGTCGAGAGTAAAAGTACGTTTATTAGTTCTGAGTCGTCTATCAAATTATCGGACTTTAAATATTTAAGGTACACGCGTTTTTTTTGTTTTTTTTGTTTTTTTTTTTTTTTTTTTGTTGATAATTAATCACGTGGTTAAATTTCTCAAATCTACAAAACCGACTAAAATAAACCTACTTCCTTTGGTAATCTTTCTGCCTGCGTGTAAATGTCTACTATCATGTACCAAACAGTCACCCATTTCAATTTCATATAACTTTTCGTTGAAAGAAAAATAAGTTCCACCACCTTCAAATTCGTTTCTCATATTTAATAAAATGTTAAAAGAAATCAAGCATCCATCGCTATGTAATTTCAATTCAGATTGTTCGCCTTCTTTTGCTTCATATTTTACAAAAAATAAATCCTTAAAATCTAGTTCATTTGAAGATTTAAATCCGGCATTAACTGATATCTTTGTTATAACCCGTGAATGTAATATGTCACGAATAAAGTTGTTTAAAGTTGGAATGGAGGAACATGGAATATCTGTTGTCGGATACGCTGAATGCCTTGAAGTTGTCCAACCTTCAACATTCCTTTTTACTGTTTCGTTCGTATCATTTGGAATCGAGGAAGACACGTGATTTAAGACCTTTTCTAAGATCATGTTACATTCTTCTTGATTTAGAATTCCTGGTAAAATATAAGGTTGTCTTTGCGTTAGATCCCGAGAAATTTTATAAAATAATCTGGATTGTTCCGGTGTACGGTCTAATGAATTGCTTGGTAATTTCGCAAGACATTCCCTCCTTTTAATCTCGAATTGATTTGCTATCGAAGCATAGAATGCTTCTTCTTCTTCGGTAAATTCACTAAATAAATCAAATTCGAATTTTTTTTGTTGGTTCATTATAAAAACTCTTTTTTTTTCGGTGAAAAAAAAAAATTACGTCATATCAAATTCAAAAGCTAAGCCACTATTTTTATTATCTGATCTAAAAAAAAAAAAAAAAAAAAAAAAAACGAAAAAAAAAAAACGAAAAAATTTTTTTTAATATGGGAAAAAAAAAAATTAACCATTCCTTCAAAACCTAGAGTTAGATCAAATAAAAAGAATCCCTTAAAAAGTAAACGACCAGAAAATCCCGGTAAATCATCCGGAAATGATATTTTCGAAATCGACCGGGAAGAAATTAGTAAACAGGAACGGCGTCGTAAAAATATTGATGAAATAGAAAGCTATGAGTATGCTGGCTCGGAAAAGATTGTTAAAGAGGATGACGAGGAAATTGATAGTGATGAGGCATTTGATGATTCGGACGAAGAAAGGTTTGGACATTTTATATTTAGAGGGTCTAATCAAAAGGTTGATCATTTTTCTTTACCGTTATTATTCGAGTTGATTTTTTTAATCATACATAACATCAGCGTTAATTTAAATATTTATAGAACGTAACAAACCGATTAGGTAAAGAGATCGATTTAGATGAGAATGAAGAGGAAGATGATGATGAAGATGATGATGAAGATGATGAAGATGATGATTATGAATTAAACGTGGATCAAGAAGAAGAGGAAGATGATGTTAAAGGAATAAATGAAGATAACTACGTGGATTTTGTCGGACTTGGTGGATCAGATAATGACGAAAACAAAATGGATGAGGAAGTCAAAGCTTTATTGGAAGAAGATAATGATGTACAAGAAGTAAATGATGAAACAAAGTCGGATAATTTGGCTTCGTTTATCGGTTCATTGGACAAAAAACGAAAAAGAACAGTTTATGAAGACATCAATTCTTTAGATAAACCGAAAAAGCAATTGAAGGAACATGCAGAAGTTTTTGAAGAATCAGAATATAATCTAACCACTAGGGAATCCCCGAATGTTAAAAAGAAAGTTGATCTTCAAGACCTTATTGGATCAATTCAAGAGGAAACTGGTTTTAGTAAATTAAAACAAAAATTAGTATCACTAGAAAGTGGTGGTAATAAAGGAACTTATCAAGAACCTTTACCCGCTCCTTTACCTACTCGAATTCAAGACAAGTTGAATAGACAAGCTGCTTACGAAGAAACAAAAAAAGATATTACTAAATGGGAGCCGATTGTCAAGCAAAACCGGGAAGCTGACCATTTGAAATTTCCTATGAATGATCAACCTTCGCATAATCCAACTAATAATGTATTGGCTGCTACATTCCAAGTATGTTAAGCATTCTACGAATTATTATCATTTACGAATTATTGTCAATTAATTTCTTTATTTAATTAAAGCCTTCAACAGAGCTTGAAAAGAAAGTTGATTCCATATTGGTAGAAAGTGGTGTAAAAGAAAAGAGTTTGCAACAATATGAAGAACTTCAAATGAGTAAATTATCGGTTGAGGAAGTTGAAAATCGAGTCAAGGAATTGCGTAAAATGCGGGAATTAGTATTTCGCGAAGAAATTAAAGCAAGAAGGATCGCTAAAATCAAAAGTAAAGCGTATCGCAAGATCAGAAAGAAGGAAAAAGAAAAAAATAAGTTGGATCTTAAACAATTGGCCGAACTTGATCCCAAACTTGCTCGTGAAGAACAGTTAATACTTGAAGCGACACGTGCTCAAGAACGTATGACGTTGAGGCATAAGAATACTAGCAAGTGGGCTAAACAAGCTTTAAAACATGGTCGTCATGATCCAGAGAGTCGTCAAGCAATTGTTGAACAACTGCAAAGGCATGAAGAATTAAAACGAAAAATTCATGATCTAGAAACTGATGAAGAGTTAAGTGATTTCACAAGTGAAAATAGTGACGACGAAAAAGATGATGATATTAATGCTATCAAAGAGAAAGCATTTGACGAATTGGCTCAATTAGATCAGAAAGAGGCAGCACAAGAAGAGGAAATGAAGGGATTATTTGGAATGAAATTTATGCATGATGCTATGGAAAGAGATAAAAATCGTACCCGAGGAATAATTGATGATTTTGTCGAGGATTTAGAAAACGAAAAATTTAATGAAGAAAATACAAAGAAAGATGAAAATAAGGAAGCCAAAAAGAGTACAATAGTTCATGTTGGAAATAATATTGGTAGGATGATATTTGGAGCAGGTTCTAAGGTAACATTAAATGAATGGTTGAAATTCAAAAATTCTTATTTTGATGATAATTTTTAATATTAATTTAGAAATCGGTTTCCGAGCATGAAATTAATATTAAAAAGGTATTTAATATTAAAAATCGAAAAAAATAAAAAACCTACATAAATAACGATTCTAATCAGCATCAGAATTTTATATATGTCTATTTCATTATTTGCAGTTATCAAAATCTACTTTTGAACCAAAATCTTCACTCGAAGACATTTCAGAAAAGTCAAAAATTGATAGTACGTCAAGCATTCCAGCTGAATCAATGAAGATTAATTATTCCTTGGAGACAAACTCTGAAGAAGAAGTCAATCCATGGCTTCAGATAGATTCATCTAAAATAATATCGTCCAGTAAAAAGAATAACAAAGGTATCGTAAAGGAAAATAACAAGTCCGATAAGATAGTATCAAAATTGAAGAAACAAAAAGACAAAGATAAGTCACAGGATGGTATTGAAATCGATGTCAGCAAAGTGCTTACGATCAGTTCTGCACAAATTACTGGTAAGTTTTTAACGTCTATTCTATTTGGTTTTTTAATCAATTTTCAAATATTTTAATTTGAATATTATTACTCAAAGGACAAGATAAAAAAAAGAAGCAAAGGAAGAAAGAAATCAATTCGTTATCTGTACAAGGTGCTACAAATTCAGATGAAAAATCTGAAAACGATTCTGAAACATTTGATGTTGAGACAAATTTTGTACACGTCAAAAATCCTACAGCATTTTCACAGAGGGAATTAGTTGCGCGGGCATTTGCAAACGATAATGTTGTAGAAGTAAGTCTAATCACAAGGTTTTTTTTTAAAAAGAATGAATTCATTACACCGATTCTGCAGTACAAAGAACTATTTTTTGTTTTAGTTAACTTCCTATATGAAGGACAAAAAGTTGTTTACCAAATTTATTTACATTCTAATTCAATCTGATTACTTCTAATATTTGCTTAGGAATTTGAAAAGGAAAAGCAAGCTATTATTGAAGAGGATGAACCGAAAGAACAAGATTTAACATTACCAGGATGGGCAAGTTTTTAGATTATTACTCTTTTTGATTTCAATTACAGCCATGATTATTTATTTATTCACTATCGTGGTTTAAAAATATTTTAGGGTTCATGGGGTGGTAAAGGGGTAAAAAAGCACAAAAAGAAGAAACTTATTTTAGCTAAACCTCTACCTGGTGGTATTGAAGCTTCCAAAAGGAAAGATGCGAAATTAGATCACGTTATTATTAATGAGAAAAGAGTTAAGAAGGTAAAGCCAAGTCTTAAAATCTCATTCCCGATTTTAAATTTTATTAATTACTCAATATTTTTTAATATAGGCCAAGAAATATCTTGCTACAAATATCCCACATCCCTTTGAAACTCGCGAACAATATGAACGAAGTCTCCGTACACCACTTGGTACAGAATGGAATACTCAAGAAGTTTTTCATAAAATGATAACACCACGGATAATCACAAAAATGGGAACTGTTATCGATCCATTAAATGTACCTTTTCAAACTAATGATCTTGATGATAAATGATATTTATATATTAATAAATTATATCACCTTAATGTGAAAATTAGATTTAAAAAAAAAAAAATTTATTCACTTTTTGTTTCCAAACATTTATTACTGTATTTATTTTAAAATAATAATAATAATATCACCATAAATCCATTGCTCTTGGCCGACTACTAGTATTTGTCATTTTATTGTCATTTCTTGGTCGCGGCGAAGTAATTTGTTTTTCTTTTGATTTTGTTAAATAGGTTGGTTCTTCCCGTTTATCTATTATACTTTCTATTAATCTTTCTGAATGCGCTTCAAATTTTTTGTCATCTGTAACTTCCTTCGCTTTATCCACCACTGGTTTTGTTACTTCTTGATGATAATTTTTATTGGGATGGTATTTTCCACTTTTATCATGACCACCTTCCTCTCCATAACGTTTCTTCTTTTTATCGCTTTTAATTCTTTCGTCCTCACTATCTTCGAATGACCGCTTTTTATCTTTTTTCTTTGAACTATCGTAACCTTTTGAGTGTTTCTTTTTCTTTTTACGTTTCTTAGATGATGAATGTTTATGACGACTATGAGAATGCTTATTATGTTCACGACGTGATAACGAATCATTTTTTTCGCCAGACTCCACTGACGAAGAACTATCATTCTCACTTGACTTAGTTTCAGTTTGTTTCCGTTTTACGGATGGACCAATCGTTGAATCATCATCGAATGATAACGTTACTCGAGTTACGGGTCCTTTTTTCCTTCCCTTAGGAGCTATCGACTGTGATTGCGATCCTTCTGTTGATTCGTTGGATAATACTTTTTTTAAACGATCTGTTTTCTTTTTGAACATTGGTCGAAATGGTATGGTAGCTGCCGCTTCTATAGTTTCTGACGGAGCAGGAGATAACTTTTCATCCTCAATCAAGTTTGTCTCTTTCATAGCTCCGACAATCATATTTGGCGGACCCTAATATAAAATTTATTAAAAAAAAAAGGTAATGATCACGAATATACATCTATAAAATTCAAATTAATACCTTATGTTTTGGAGCTTCATCTTCATCTCCAGAATCCGATTCGCCAAATATAGATTTAAAAAGCTCCATAGCGGGTCTAGTTTTCTGAACTTCTTCCTTGACATCATCGGTTGATCTCAACGTACCGGCTTTATCATCATCAATATTTACTTGACTTTTATAATTAGAACTTGTAAATTCCATAAAGTTTTGCGAATCTTGTTTCCCAATAATGTCATTCATGGTTTCTTTGCTGAGAACATCTTTCTGTCCTTTTTGAGTTTTTCCAGATTGATTATCATATTGATAATCGGGATGTGGATTTGCAACATTAAACCGCTTACATAAAAGACGAGCAGGATAGAAATTTGTTCTGGCCCTTGTAAGAGGCCCAAACATATTCATCCTAGCTGCAGCTTCGGCTGATGATCCGGCTGACTCTAAAGGAACTTGAATATTAGCATCATCCTGATGTATTTTGAAAGAAGACTCGGAAGCAAACCGAGTATCTTTTTCTGGAAGTTGAGCATCATCTACGGATTTTGCATTGGTAAAACGGGATGCCATCATTTTTGACATCGGACGAAATATTCTCGCAGATTGCGCGAATTCATCAAGTTCTTTGATATATTGTTCAATGGTAAAACCCTAAAATGGGATGAAAATATTCAAAAACTTATTACAAAGTAAAATTTTACTTAATGTAGGTTAATATAGAACTTACCTCATGTTGTTTCAAAGGAGTAGCACTCAATTCAGCCTGTACCTCTAAAAACTGTTTGTACCTTGCCTGTTTCTTCTTATCATTTTCAAATGGAATAAACCCTTGCAAAGCTGCTATAGCAACGTCTTTATCCACTTTCGGAATTTCTAATTCACTAGGCTGTTTCTTTACATCGCCCGTAGTATCAATCATATACTCAATTAGATTATCCAATCTATTTTTATCCTTCCGGGAAACATAATCAAAAACTGATCGAGCTGGGGCATTCAGCGGAGTTTCTCCTAATAACTCGCCACGCTTAAACAAGAAATGTTACCTTTATTAATTAAGCTGTATTTACTATGTATATAATAACGGCATAAATGTTATTTTACAACATATTATGCTCACCTGTTCAGCCAAAATAGCTAAGGTTGTCTGTTTCTGATGTTTGCTCTTTTGAAATGAGACTGGTGTATCTTTCTTCTCTATTGCTTCGGAATTGAGTTCATGTATAGGTACAAACCCTTGTGGTAAAATTGGCGGAGCAAACCTATCAAAGGTAATTAATCAGATACCATCACATTAGAATTTTTTATTTTTCATTTAAGAAATTCACTACAAATATTAGAATACCATTTATCGAGTGGAACAGGACGTGATGCCAATACAAATCCTTGTAAAGGTGAACTTCCGTCATGACACAGTTTATCACTTGATAACTAGTAAATAAAAATTCAGTGGACTATAAGATTTCAATAATATGAATTCCATAAATTTCATTTAACGAAATGTCACCTTTTTTCCTTGACTTTTATTAGGATATTTAGATAAATTTTTTCCTCCCATGACCATTGTATCCTCATCCTCATCCATTAGCGATGCATGAAAATTTGACATCGATGTTTCGCCGTAAAGAATGTCATCATCATCATCATCAAATACAGCAAAATTAGTTGTCCCTTTTTTATAATTAAAAAAAAATTATTTAATATTACAAAATGACGATAGATAACTTGAAATTATTCTTTACCTCGTGTGGATAAGGAATTTTGAACTTTTTTGCGTTGAAGATAACTGTCACCTAAATGAGGTTAATATGACTGTAGTATTTTATAACAATACATCCTGTCAAATTAGCTACACTATTAGGTTCAATTCATTACCTTTAATGTTGCTAGATTGAGGAATGAATTCAGGAGCATCCTTGAAAGAATCAAAGTCGAGACCGTAAGTGTTACTTTTTTGGTCAAAATTTATTATTTCAGTGTCCTTAGGAGCAAATAAGGTACTCATATCAGACTCCAGAAATTCTATAATTAAACAATTATACGAAGATTTGTAAATAAAATTTTAACACATCAAATAAATGTTGATCTACCTTACCTGAATCGTCGTTTTGAATCTTTGAAATACGAGGACCAATGCCCTGACCTTCTCGCCAACCCATTGCTTTTAACAATCGAACGCCTATGAAAAGACAATTATTATAAATTATCTAATAAGAATAAATCAAAAAATACGAACTACTCTGAGTTATATATATCGTACCTACAGGGTCCTTATTAGGTAGTACCAAATCGTCAATAAATTTGTCTGGTAACGCACCTAACACACTTATGTAAAACAAATATATAATTGACATGAAATATTACAAAAATAACAAACTTTTACGTAGCGTACCTTCCGCTTGCTTCCATAGAACTAGCTAACATACGCTTCTTCTCTAATTCGCGTTCTGTAGAACCAAAAGAATCAAATTCGTCGGTGGCAACAAGTTTTTGATTTTGGAGCACTTCCTATAACAAATAAATTAGAACAATGTAATTGTTTTTTAAGATACTCTATATAATGTAAATGTACCTCGAGATCTTCATCGTCCATAAAATCTTCTGGTTTAAAATCCTTACGGTCCGATCTGTTCTTTCGTGAAGAAACAAATGTCGAAGGACTCCACCCTGACCAAAACGTACTAATAAGTAAATATCTAATTAGGACTAAGGCTTTGCAATTGTACCTACCTTCTTTAGATCCGACCGTGTTAAAGTAACCCGCAGACCACCCGCCTTTGAAAGCACCATGGAAACGTCTCAAGCCTTGTTCATCGCGAACCTTGAAAAACAGTATTAGATTTACGAAAGACTTTAACTGTAAAAGAAAATAGAGAAATAACAGAACATGTACTTCTTGTTTCCAAACAGGCTGAAACTTTCCTTTGTCTTGTTCACCTGAGGTAGTTATATCAGGAAGCTCTGTTCCATACTCAACAAAAGTTTCATTAGAATGATCGTCATCACTATCTTCTTTTGATCTCTTTTTGTTAGAAGACATAATGTTGGATCTAAATTTTTATTTTTGGAAGTCATTTAAAAAAACAGGGGCCAATTAAATTCAGCTGACATAGTTGAAAAACAACTAGTCATTGTGTTACAACGTATTTATCGGAATAAGAAAATCCAAAAATCCAAGAACAGCTACTCAATTCAGATATAACAAAATTTTAAGTAATTATGAAAATTTTTTCCAAGGAATGAGCTTCAATATATTTAATTTTTTACATTCATTTTTTAAAGTTTTTCTTTTCTTTATTTGTCAGTTATATAGTTATGGGCGAGAAGGAAAACGTGGTTCAAAGTCCAGAAGAAAAAATACTCTCTTCGACACCACCTCTACCTGAGGTTAAAACTATTTCTGGTACTAATATCAACAACTTGCTTTCTCCTCAAATTGCCTCACTTCGTTTAAAACCCGTTCAGAGTACAGATTCTCCACACCATCCATTATTAAACTATGACGATGAAGAAAGTGATATGGTTTCTTCAACCTGGTCAAGTCAACGCAGTAGACGATCTCCTTCCTCGTCCTCAACTTCTTCGTCTTCCTCTTTACAGCCTAGATTCTCTTCACATCCAGTACCAGGTGGCTCAGTAGGTGGATTAATGCTCGTAAAACTCCGTGAAATGAATGTGGGCTTTTCGGATATTGTGCAAATGTTGATTGCAAAAAAGGTTGGAGACTGCATGTCTTTTGGCTTTTGGTGGAAAGCCTTCACCTATTGTGGTATCTCAGTTTCAAGTTTTACAGTGTCTCCCAAAATAAAATATTTGGTTGACACATTATATTGAAAATTTCATTCTGGATGGACATTTTCTTGTGCTGCTATCAGGCGACACTTTTTCTTCCTGCGTCTTCGGTTATGCCTTTCGAAAATGTTGACCGAACTTACCTAGAAGATCATATTATTTTTTCTCAATCAACTGAAGATGGGATCAAAGTGGTAACTTTAAATGGAGTAAGAGGTTTTATACAACAGTGAGTTTTACAGATTTCCTTTTTAAATGGTATATCTATCGTTTTTTTTAAAAAAAAAGTATTCAATGTACTGATTGACAAAATAAATCCCTTATATTTAAGGGATGTCTTCAAAGCTATTGGTTTAATGCCTACGGAACAAGAATTTGACATAGACAATCCCAAGAGTCGCAAGTTAGTTAAATACAATACAATATATATATATATATATATATTTCATAAAGTTATTTGATTATTAAGCTATTCCATTCACGAATTTATTTGTTCTATCTTTAATATTATTAGATCCATATTTGATACTTTTTCTAAGCCTGCTGATCTTTCTTTTGACTATCCAACAATTAAAATTTTAAATAATAATGCTGACATTCTTTTACATGGTATGCCCATTCAAACCATAGTAATAGAATCACCTGTAAGAACAAAAGAAATTTCAGAGCGTATTGCTACGCGTACAGAGATGGAGGAAAAGGTCAAAGGATCATATTTACCCGAAGCATTGTTAAAAGAAATTGAAAAGTACGCCTAAGTTTCCATAGCAATTATATACGGATAAGTTTCATTATACTATAATATCTTATTTGAATACATCCAAGAATTAATAGGTTAGCAATAATATTATATTTCTTTTTATCCCATAGTTTTATTAGAGATTTTATGAAAGATCCTCCCAAAAATGAAGATGCTTCGTTTGAACAAATCCAAGGATTGTTTGATCATGTGCGCTGCGAGATCGAATGTCAAGTCGTAGAACTTACCGAAGTCAGTGAAAATCGTATAGATGAAACAATGAATATCGTCGAAAATTATGTTTGTATGGCGCTTTACGATAAGTTCGTATTATTCTTTTTATTTTAAACCATATTTACACAGTGATTATAACATTTATTAACTCTTAATTTGTATAATTTGGCCTGTATGAATAATTTACACAATAGCATTTTCAGTCCAAAATGGTCAAATGATGTTGCTGATGATGAGGCACTTGGATCAAAAATTGCTGCATTAAATCTTTTAGAATTAGGACTATCAAATCTCGGAGTTGATATTAAGTCTCAGCAACAGCAGGAATTTATTGATCTGGCCATACAAGTTGCAGGTGCAGAATTGCAAAGCTTAGAACAAAAAAAGGCACCATATGAGAAGCTTAATAGCCTCATCCATTGCCACGGAATTGTAGTAGGTTTGTCTAATTAAAAATAATTTCTGTGAATAATTTGAATTAGATAATGAAATTAACTTATTTATATATATAGAGGCACTTGAGAAAAAAATACAACCTCCTCAAGACTCTACTAATATTGATATTGCAAATTATAAGTCAGCACTTAATCAAAGTTCATATTCGGTATCTAACGACATATCACCTGCGTCTATTCCTTTACCTCCTTCGCCTACGTTATCTAAATCATCTATTGTGCCTATAACTCCGATTTCGCCAAAATTACCTATGACATCGACTTTACCAACTTCACCAACAGATGAAAAACACAGCCCAGGTGATCCTAATGCAGACGCCATATTACCATTATTAATTTTTATTGTGGTTAAATCAAATCCAAAAAAATTGATTTCAAACTTAAGGTAATATTCATTATTATAATTGTTATTTGAATATAGATCAATAATTTGATAATTTGGATTTTAACATTTTCATAGGTTCATGAGAAGATATCGTGTAAATAATTTGTTGTGCGGAGAGGCAGCTTATTGTCTTACCAATATTGTAAGTCACATATATTATTATCGGGGATTCTTAGCATACCTTTATCGCTCTTTATGAATTCTTTTTAAATTCATAGGAAGCAGCTGTGTTATATTTAGTAAATGAAGATTTTCCGGCTTTAGGACTGTTACCGGATAAACCTTTAAGGTTCGTTATTTGATAGCCATAGTTTTAGCTTTGGATACGTAATTTAGTTTATCAAATTTGTTCTTTTTTTTATAATAAATCCTTTATAATTTTTTGGAATACAAATTTAGTAATACGAATCCTGGTTTGGAGCAAAGAGTTACCCGCAGAGTAGGACAAGACATTGTTGACGTTGCTGACACTGGCTTTAAAGTTATTACAGGTGTTATGGACAGTTCAGTTAAAATGTTTGGAAGGCTTATTGGTTATGAAAACACTTCCATTGGAACGAATTCTCCATCAATCGCGGGAAAAAGTAAAGAAAGCCCAATTATACCAGAAAAGAACGATGTAAATGATAATAAAATGAATTCTGGTATGCCGGAAGAGGGACCATCGAAAGAACTTGCAGAAATAAATGCTGTAAAGTATAACATACGTAGCGAAGAAAATTCATCTTCGAATAACAACCAAAATAAAAATTTTCAGTTAGATGAAAATAAATCCTTGTAAGCAAAATTTTATTTATTTTAGAATTCACTATTTACAATAATTGAATAATGTTGAATTCTGTAGAACGGGTCGATTACTTCCTTTTAACGTATTACCACGTTTCAACAGTGACCGTAATCATATAGACGAGGTATAAATTTTTTTTTTTTTTTTTTTTTTTTTTTTCAAGGAAAAAAATATTAAAGTCTTTGCGTTTGTTATTTGTCATTAGGAGGAAAATAAAAAATCAATGGTGAATGAACCTGTAAATAAGATATCTCCTCCTATTCAAAAATTTTTAGATTGTTCAATTGAAGAATTTCGCGTTAATGATGTACCAGGTACAGATTTTTCTATTTATTTATATTTATTGATCCGTTAAAAAAAAAAGTTGTCAAATGTAATTATTTTATATTAGAACTCTTGGAAGATTATAAAAGGTTGGCAAATGCTGTTCGTGATCTCGGATTTTTCTCTTAGATTTAAAATTTTTTTTTTCTTTTATCATGTATAATATATAAATATATAAATTTAATTTTATATTTAGTCATTTATTCAATTTGTATAATTATACGACTACATTTACTATTTATTTATTAATAATATTATTTATTTTTGATTAAATAATTTCATACTGAATAAATGACTTTTTTTAAATTCTATACGAATGATTATCTTCCATCATGATTACAATGATTGTTTAAGTAATATAGCATATTCAATAAAAAAAAAATTAATAGGTTAGTGGTCCGAAAATTCCTCGTATAGTTCCCTAAAAAAAAAAAAATTATTATTATAAATCCAAAGCTAAATCACAGGGAAAGATAATCAATCAACCGACCTTGCGATTATAAGTCTTCGAATTTCACTTGTCCCTGCACCAATTTCATAAAGTTTGGCATCTCTTAAAATTCTTCCAGTATCATAATCATTTATGTATCCATTACCCCCAAGGCACTGAATAGCATCTAAAGCAACTTCAGTCGCACGCTCAGCAGAATACAATATAACAGCAGCACAATCCTATAGACGAGATATAAAAGTTAATCTCTCCAACTTTATAAAAAAAGTTGGATTATTAGAAATTTCAAATACCCTATTAGAAACATGTCCATTATCGCAAGCTCTTGCTACAGAGTAAACATATGATCTAGAAGCATTGAGTTTAGTATACATATCAGCTAATTTCGCTTGAATTAACTGGAAATGACCAATTGGTTGACCGAATTGATACCGAGATTGTACATAAGGAAGAACGATATCGAGTGCTGCTTGCATTAAACTTAAAAATAATTAAAAATGGTAAATAATAATTGAATAATGGAACTTCAAGTTAGTAAAAAGTAGATATTAAAGAATCACCCTAATGGACCACCCGAGAGAACGAGCCTTTCCAAATCCAAACCACTCATAAGAACGTATACCCCTTTATTTTCTTCTCCCAAAACATTTTCAGCTTAAATATTGAAGAAATATTAAATAACGAAATTATATAGCAAAAATATGGTTAAATAATTTTTAAAATAACTACCGGGAACTTCACAATTTTCGAAAATAAGTTCACACGTGTTTGATCCACGCATTCCAAGTTTATCCAGTTTCTGTGCTGTTGAAAAGCCTTGGAACTCCTTCGAATATAAAAATACAAAAAAAACATGAATTTTTAAAATTAATTACTTGAATATTTAAAAATAATTATACCTTTTCGATTAAAAATGCGGTAATACCGCGAGCACCCGCTTCATGATTTGTCTTGGCGTATACAATCAAAACATTTGCATCAGGACCATTGGTAATCCACATCTTATTTCCATTCAAAACATATCTATTACCCTTCTTCTCAGCACGAAGACGCATAGAAACTACATCTGAACCAGATCCTGGTTCTGACATGGCAAGCGCGCCAACATAATCACCGGAAATAAGCTAATCAAAATTAATAAAGATAGTAAAGATATTAAAGGTTAGAAAAGCATACTTATATTATTTATATATTTGTGCATACCTTTGGTAAATATCTTGATTTCTGTTTCTCATTACCATTTCGAACTATTTGGTTAACACACAAATTTGAATGAGCTCCATAGGAAAGAGCAACTGAACCAGATGCTCGCGAAATCTCCTCCATTATAATTGTATGTTCGAGATACCCTTTATTTAATCCTCCATATTCTTCAGGAGCGGTTACACCAAGTAATCCCATTTCACCAAACTTCTTCCACATATCCTAAAATAAATGCACGCTTAAATTTTCTAAAGCTCTAAAATAATTTTAAATTGATTAAAGAAAAAACTTACTGTTGGGAAAGAATTTTGCCTATCAATTTCAGCTGCCCTTATTTTAAGTTCTTTTTGACAAAATTGGTGAACGGTCTCATGAAGCTAATTAATATTCAAAGTGAAATATGTAACCCCAAAATGAGAGAATATTAAGGACATTAATTCATTAAAAGTTACCTCATTCTGTTCTTCGGTCAACCCAGCTATTTGTGTGTTATATGTACTAACGTAAGTTCGATTTGGAAAAATGGTAATACTTGTTCTCTACATAAAAAAAGAAAAGCAAACTTGTAAATTATTCTATAAGTAAAATAAGTATATCATATATTTACCACAAGTGATTTTTTGAAGAATTTTGTGCTGACAGAACGTAACATGGTGTAAAAGAAGAAAAGATAAAGGGTTAAATCATTAAAATATGAAAAGCGGATTTTAATCTCATTGGGTGATCATTTTCGTTTAAATTTTATGTGAAGAAAAAGGGTATTGATTCTTGGATGTTTTAAACTAGGAGACGAAGTCTGATCATATGTCCGATCTCCAAATAATCAATATAAATAATGAACTCTTTTGGCCGGAATTACGGCATTATTGGAGTGACAAGCAACTTATTTCCCCATGAAAATTTGTCATAATTTCATTGGATATTTATTTAAATATATAAATCACGCGAAACTCAATTATTTATATTCCTTGCTTCTCGATAAAACTTTCAATGCTTTAATCTGTAATCAACTTTTATTTTTTTTTATTAGCGTGAACCATGAATAATTTATATAAACACGCATTGAAACAAAACCAAAGTATAACGCAGGATTTAGAGAAATTTGAAAATGCCGAGGATGCTTCTGTTGGCTTACAAGGTATATATATAAACATTTATTTCATTTTAAGAATAATCTACAATATAATTTTAAAATGAAAATTCTAATTAATTAGGACAAATATCTGCAAGTCTCATTGCTTTAAAACGAACAATAGATGATTATGATAATCTTGCTAAAAGAGAAATGATTCTTGTTAAGCAAGAAAAAGCTTTTGCGTAAGTTATGAACGTTTTTCATGTTTATACAAGTTACACAATTACTTATAATTTAACTTTATTTTATTAACAGTAATGTAAGTAAATTAAGAAATGAATACAATGAATTCAAAAAGCTATTTGAACGGCTAAAACAACGTGAAACTAA